AACAACGACGAGATATACCATGGCGATGAGGAACAGACGAGTCGACGATACCCTCCACCAAAGCAGCCTCTGTCTCCGAGACAGCTCGGCCGGATCGCCCAGTCATTCGGTATCGTCATCCCTTCGCTGCCCTTCTCACCTTCCCCGACTTCGTCCCCGAACCTCCTCACCGCGTCTCCCACCCTGTCCGCGGCTTCCGCCTCATCCTCCCGCCTCCCCACGATTTCTCACTCGACATCGATATCCCACTCGCCGTATCTCCTCGCGGTCGTCCCGCCGCTGTCCCTGCTCAACCTCTCGGCCAGTACCGCCGAGGATGCCGAGAAACGGTCCAAGCGTTGGCGGCGGGGACGTCTGATCCCTCTCCAGCCTACCCTTGGCGGCATGCTCCTCGCCATTGCAAGGGAGTTTGGCCTCCCTTCGACCCAAGGAATCGACGTCTACTTGGCGCAAACGGAAACACCCCGATCGATTTCGTCTGCGTCGAGCTCGGCGAGCTTTGGCTCGGTCGAAGAGGCTTCTGGCCCACTGATCTCGGCGCAGACGTGGACCACGCTGTTCTCGACGTATCTCCATGGCTCGGTCTCGCGCGGTTCCACCCCGGCTACGACCCCCCGCAAATCCTCCTCGATAGGTCGGGACGTCTTTCCTCCTTCTCCCTTGGAGCTCGCGAGCCGCTCAAGACTGCCGAGCCAGAATTTCAAGCCCGACTCGGCCGGTCCGACTCCGACCCCTACCAAAGCGTCGCATCAAAGCACATCGTCGCACTCCTCGTCGACATTCCCTCTCACTCCTGCCAGCGGCGTCTCGCTTCCCCCCGCGCCATCGTTGGCACCATCGAATTTGACGTGGACCGGGACGTCGCGAGCTGGTTCGACGAGTGGAGTCGGTTAGGACCGGAGTCATCTCGCACCCGCAAGCTGTCTAGTGTGTCGGATGGGGGAGTAGGAATTCGGGAACTTCGTCTGGTGCGAAAAGTGAAGGACAAAACGGCGACCCCTTTCCTCCGCGAGCTGGACCGGAATCGGACTCGCACAAGAGCGTTGACGCCAGAGACGTCGTCGTCGTCGTCCCGCCGACCAAGCGACGATACCACCCAAGTCGACCATCTCTTCCCGTCCTACTCGTCCGAATACGCCAAGCTCCAGAGATCGCAATCGCAAAAACGCGGCACGCCGTCCAGGATCGATCCCACTCGCGCGATGAGCGCCTCGGGCTCTTTCGGCGAGTTCCCAGAGGACGAGGGAACCGCTACAGAATCAGATACCGTCGCCGAGGACTCTGGAGCAGATGTCAGCGGCGATCTGCTCGACCCCGGCAAGGTCGCCGATCTCCTCGCCAGCCCGATTCAGCTCGAGGATGACGCACCGATAGTGGTGCTTCCGAGTAGGAAACTGGCCGAGCTGAGGCAGGAGCTGGACAAGAGAGGCAGCGCAGTGGTCATGAGTGATGAGCTGGATGATTTGGAGAAGCGTGAGTGCGGTGTCCCTTGCCGTTTGGAGCGGATCCGTGCTGACGTCCCAGTCATGCGCCAACTTTCGCCCAAGGAGATCCGCCTGACGTCCCCGCGCATGCTCACCCCTCGTATGGCCGCGAAAGTCGCTTCTCTCGAGTTCCCGCCTTTGGGTCCCAACGCACCCGCGCCGAGATCTGCCCCACTCCCTGCGCCTTCCCCTCTCGCGGCGACATTCCACCCCGACGTACCCTCCGAGGACGAGGATCCCGCCTCGACTCCTCCATCCACCACGTTCGAGGCGGCTCGTCTCGCCGGGACAGCCGCGATGGCAGCACCCGGTGCGAGCGATGACCTGCCCCAACCGAGCTGGCCGGCTGTACCGTACATTGCTCTCGGCTCTCCGGGCAGTCCCTCCTCGATCCAAGAGTACTTCAAAGACATTCCCCGTCCTGGGACGACCTCGTCGCCGCTCTCCGAGGAGACCCGCAAACGCATGGAAGCGGCCCAGGCTGCCGCCGCGACGACCATGCCGGGTGCCACCGAGTGGAAGCCTCGTCGGCCTGTACGCCCGCCGACCCCGAATCTTGACAACCCCGATATCGTCACCCACGCTGTCTCCCCGGATATGGTCGACGTCCTCCTCCGCTCGCCACCATCTGTGGTGCCCGTCCCTCCCTCGCCAGCGTCCCCCGCATGGGCCCAGGGCGAGGGCGAGAAGGAGAGGAAGCGCAGCCGATCCAACTCTATCAGCCTGAAGGGACTGAAGCACATGAGTTCAAGGACTTTCGGCAGGAGAGTCAGCGACAAGGACGCGCCTCCACTCCCGTTCAAGGATTCGGACCGGGACAACATCAGGGACAAGGAGAGAGAAACCGTTGGGCTATGGAAAGGCGGAGTGTCACCCGCCACATCGACCTTTCCAGGTCTGCGCGACCGGACCGATCGTAGCTCGACCTCGCCCAGTGTGAACGAGTTTGGCGCAATGGCGACGACGAGCCAGGACGAGTCCGCCGCGATGGCGGTACACTCCCTGCCGAACCGGGGCGATCACGGTAAAGGGTTCGGCCGGTTCCTGCACTTTGGACGCAAGGTTTCCGACTCGCCAAAGGACAAGGACCGGCACTCGCACTCGCACTCTCGCGACATCCGATCCCGTCGTAATCTCAGTATCGACGGTCCCATCCACATCTCCGCGCCGATATCGACGACCCACCACGTTATCGCCGGTCCTGGCGCTTCCGATTCCCCGGCCCAACTTATGGCGACGCTATCGCGCACTGACTCTTATGTCCCCGGCTCGCCCAGGTCCGCGAAATCGGGTATGGTCCCCTCTCCAAGCATCGCCAGCGGGATGGCCACCACCCCGGCGAGTCCGCGGAGTGTGAGGAGAAAGCCCGTGCCAGAGATGGAGGCCGAGGGAGGAGGTATTGGGCTTGGGATCGGGTTGGGTGGGTCGGGCGCAGCGCAGGAGGACCCGCAAGCGAGCAGGATCAAGGGGAGTATGAGTCTGCATAGCGTAGCTAGCTTCGTGTTGGAGGATCCCCCGAAGAGGAGGATGCCTCAGGCCAAGGCGGTGTGAGATGCAACACGTGTCTTGCCGGAGCATGTACGGGTGCAAGTTTGTCAAGAGTATCAAACTCCCCGCTGCCGCCGCACCGGTCGTCAGGACTTCTGCAGTGATCAACCATGTAAGAATATCATTCGGCGGTCTTTCGAGCGCTGCTCCCTCGCTCCAGACATCATCGCCTTGGAAGCCTTGGCTTTGCGCCTTCAGAGTCTCTGACACCCCATCTCTGAGATATTCGTTGGCGTGGTTCGAAGCGGTTTCGACTTCCGACTGCTATTGTCGCTGGGGGCAGGCTTATGACGGAAGACATGCAAGAGGATATGAATCTCGCGATTCGATGATTCAAGCAGGACAGCTCTTTCTAAGCTTTCTACCCTCGTCACTTTCCTGGATTTCGACAATCGCGGGTGATGACGACCTTCTTACCGTCCCGAACGCGCTAGTTGTGGGTTCCCTCTTGATAGCCAAGTCCGCGGTACCTGTGGACTGCTTCAAACAGGAGTACCGGGAGCCGGCCGCCACGAGGGCTTATGGGCCCATTATATGCGTCCAAGAATGGACAAAAATCGTTGTTCGCCCGCTTGGCCCAGCGGTACGGCGTGACCTTCCTACGATGAGTTTACGCTTAAGCTGCTCCTTGAATTAAGGTTAAGATCGCGGGTTCGATCCCCGCAGTGGGTTGCTTTTGCTGTTTTTGACATATCAAACCATTTCCCTTGCACGTCTCCTGCTCGAATACGTTGCCAGGCGCTCGAAATTGACGAGGAAAGGGGATGATGGAGTTGGCGAGACGGTGCCACAAAGATGGTGGTGGTTAACGAAAGCTGATTTTGGGCGCGGATTTCCAAATGAACACCTGGCAGGCAGTCGGCTATGTGGCGGATGGACATCACGCAGCTGAGCGGGCGATCTCACCGGACAGGAACTGGTATGATCATTGACGCATGTACAGGAGCCTTCCTTGAAGATCGCACCGTCCTGTGTAACGCCCAGTTCGTATTGGCAGGAGAAACCCGCCACAAAGTCAACAGCACTTTGATTGCTTGATGGGGGAGAACGGACAGCTAGGTATCGCCTTGCCCGACGAATTGGGGCTGTCTCCGAGATGTCCAGCCTGATGCAAACCATCGCGAACTCCCGATCGGTATGCTTGGCTGATTTGGGTCAACTTATTGACCACGCCACGCAGGTTGTGGCAACCCGTACAAGAGTTCCGGTCCACATCTTTGGGGGTCCGCCACGGAAATGTCGGGATCACACTGCCGAACGTAGACCATGACACTCTTGGCCTAGGATTCTCGCGCTCGACGTCCCGACGGGTCCTTTGCGGCGAATGGGCAGGAGATGTGGAGCACCAGCTGATTGCCAGGATCACTGTGCTCCTCTCCTCTGTGCGACCAGCCGTTGATACGCCACCTGGTTGAGGGCTTGCGTTTGTTCGCTATCCGCCTCGACGGAGACGTGCCCGGAACGTTGTTGCGGAATCCCAAACTGATGGTCAGACAAGGGAGTTGGGCTTGCCCAGCAGCTATCAGGGCGTCCTCGTGAGGGACAACCTGCGACATGAACCTTGATATGCACACTCCCAGCCCAGCCCACCAATAATTTCCTTTGTCTTGCCATGGGAGAAGTGGCGGTAGCTTTCCCCGCCTTGGCAGTACGACATGGCCCGTCTGCGCCCAGATAGCTGTGCTGAGCACGACCGCCAATGCCTTCCGACTTCAATACGCATCACCATGCGCCATTTTGCCACGAAAGCACGCGTGTACTCCAGGTGGACCGTTGCCCGAGCAGCGATCGGATCCCCTACCGTCTTTCGGTCATCTTGAGCTCATTCGTCTACCAAACGACCGTTTCTCGCTGATCCAAGCGCGAAGTGCAATCGAAAGGCTCGGCCGCTGCACAATTTCATGTCGGATGAACTGGCAGATGGGCTGGAAACGCTGTATAATTTGTGTTGATTGAGAAAACCACGAGGACTTGGTGGCGCAACGGTAGCGCGTCAGATTCCAAAGCAAGGCGGTATTACAACCTGTCTTCTGGACCATCTGTAGGTTGCAGGTTCGAATCCTGTCCGGGTCGCTTTTTGGCCTCTCCTGCGTGTCTTTTTGGTCCGGGATGCATTGGAAAGCGTCGATTTGGTGTCGAAAAGACGACAAGAGGACGTGAAGTGCCAACGATGGAGGAGGGGGTGCCACAGAGTTTGGGGCGCGGCGGCGATCGCCGCCACGGGTTTTCGAAAAACAAATACTTCCGTCTCCCCATGAATTGAATCCGTTATTGCTACATAGCTGATTTGCCGCGGTGCCAGTGGGCTGAGCTATGCATGCATTGACATGGATGTGTTCTTCCGCGGGCCAGCTGTAGACCCGCGGTATTGTACGTCCACCAGGTAGGAGATGCATGGAGACGTGACATGAACAAGACTGAGCCCGTTGATGAGCGCCCCGCCACATCCCCTAACTCGGCCTAAACGGAGTCCACATACCCGACTGTTCATCTGGGTTGGCATTGTTCACCCTCTACATGCTGGCTGCGACCCGAAGCCTCGCGTACAGGCTCGTCGACCGCAGCATGAAGTTTGCCGGTGAGTCCGCCTCACCGGATCTGTGTTAGAGACACTACGTTTCGCTGACCAACCCCCAAGACATCGCGGTGAACCTCACGGATCCCCAGTTCGAGGGCACCTACCATGGCCGGCAGAAGCACTCGTCGGATCTCGAGGCGGTGGTCTCGCGAGCCAAGGGCAAAGGGGTCGAGCGTATCCTGATCACGGGGACATCGTTGGAGGAGTCGAGAAGGGCGCTGGACCTGGCCCGGCGCTTCGGTGAGCGACCAGTCGGTCCAGGACTCATTGGACACGACGACTGATGCGTGGTTGCAGATCTCCATTCTACTGCTGGATGCCACCCAACGTCCACCAGCGAGATCGACTCGTATCCCGGTGGTACCGAGAGGTACCTGGCGGATCTGAGGAGGCTCATTGCGGAGGACCGGGGCGAGGGCGGGTCAAAGCGGGTCATCTCGGTCGGCGAGATTGGTCTGGGTGAGTACGGCACGAGCTCCGTTCCGAGGGCGCACCACGTCGCCGTGTCCTCGTTCGAAGCAATGCACTATCCCTCTGGCTGCCGGCTACTGTGTGATGTCTCTGACCGCAGCGTTCTTTGCCTCCTGATCATCAGACGCCGCGTAGTGCCGAGACCCCCTAACACCTCTCAGATTACGACCGGCTGCATCACTCTCCTCGTGAGACCCAGCTCAAGCACCTCCCAGCCTTGCTCGCCATGGCAAAGGAGTTCCAGCTCCCGATATTCCTCCACTCGCGGACATCCGAGTCGCATGGCGATCTTGTTGCGGCGCTGAAGGGTGCGGGGTGGGGGGATCGCGGAGCGGGATGGAAAGGCGGGGTGGTGCATAGTTTCACTGGGACGAAAGCCGAGGTGCAGGAGCTGGTGAGTGCGGGCGTGTCATGCGTCCCAACACGTCTGCTGAACATACGATCCAGGTTGACATGGGCCTACATGTCGGCGTGAACGGATGCTCGTTGAAGACGGAAGAGAACCTCGAGGCGGTGAAGACGATACCCTTGGACCGATTACTTCTGGAGACAGGTACGCAATAGTCTCCTCGGTCAGAGCCAGCACACGGCTCGTTCTGAATGCTCTGTTCCGCCCTCTTGTGGTCCTTTCAATCGTCATGGTGTATCGATTACAATCGAGGTGTGCCGCTGACGCCGCCAGACTCCCCGTGGTGCTCCTGCACATCTACCCAAGCGTCCCACGCTCACCTCCCCCCACCCGACTCGCCGTTACACATCCCCAAAGTCTCCAAACCCCAAGGGTGGAAGCCCGACCACGGCGTCAAAGGCCGCATGGAACCCGCAGAGATCGGGCTTATAGCCCACGTCGTCGCGAGGACGAGGGGCATGGCGATGGAGGAGTTGGCAGCTGCAGTGTGGGCAAACACGATGCGGCTGTTCTACCCCCAGGAGAAGAAGTGACGGGCGCGGTGCATACGCGATGGTAGAGCTATAGCATGCATGCATGTTTTATCTGTCGATGACAAGATCGGCACGCAATCGCGCCCTCGAGGCAACTTTTTCCTGCGCGGCTCTCCCCGGCTGTCGTCGCCCGCTCGACTGTTTATCAACGTTCGTCACGGGTGGCACTTCTGGCCCGTTGCCTTTGTCCCAGTCCAGAACCAAGTCGCCCTCCACTGCCTGCTCCACCTCGATCCGATCCACCGAGCGCTTCGGCAGCTCCTTGATCACGAGTTCGGCTTGTCCGCCGAATCCAGCAGCGTTCCCAACGCCGTCGCCGTCGAGCTCTTCTCCCCTTGATCAAGTTCGAGATGGGCTTGAAGTTCGGGTTCTCTGCGTCGCCTGAAAGCGTGTCAGCTCGTTGCCCCGTCCGAAGTCGCGCTAGCCAGATCGGTACGTGATTCCGGTGTCAGTCGACGCCAACTCACCGAGCAGCTCAAAGATAATACTCTCGCTGGTAGAGACCACGGCTCCCGCCTGGCGCATCCTTGACAGCGCGACAGGAACTTCCTGCCGGTTACAAGACGACACCGCGTCGGCCAGGACGTACACCCCGAGGCCGGAGCGGAGCAGGGACAGAGCAGTTTGCAACACGCAAACATGCGACTTTGAAGGTGAGTCACGAGAAGAAGTCGAACGGAAGATTGGTCAGACAGGTCCGGAACGAAGTCGGACAATGCGCACCTCGATGCCGACCAGGATTGCCGTCTCAAACTTGTGCTCTGCGATGATCGACTCGACCTCAGGGGTCATCATTGAGAACTGAGAGTGTCAGCGAGCGTGCAGCCATACAGCGGGTATGTACCAGGGCCCACCAGCTGAAAGCCAGATGGGGAGGTGAGAGAAGGGGAACAGTCGGACGGACCTTCTTCTTGGGAATGAGACCCAGGTAGAGGTTCTCCGGAATATCCGCGAGCCCGATCTCCGGTGCTGTGACACCCAGCCCTGCACGCTGAGCCACCAAATGCGCAAGTCGATCGGGAGGACCCACCCTTGGGATTCTGCTCGGTTGCAAGCACTCGCATCTGGGTTGAGAGTTCAGATCCAATACCACAGATATGACTATCAGGTCGGCACACACCTCGAGGAGCTACTGTGCGTCAGTGCTCCGCCGGTCAATCGCGGCAGCACGGCCCACCTTGGCTGCTTGTATCATCTTGACGATGGACCCATTCATAGCGTCGAAACCATGGACGGCGGCCCCTGCAGGTGGTCAGGCCACAAGCAGCGCCAGTCGAAGCCCGCAGGCCCGTATCCTGCGAGAGCGAATCAATCGACTCACGGAGCCGCTCCTGGACGTCGCATATCAGCAGCACGGTATTGCGAGGGTTTGGCACGCGGAGGAAGCTGGACATGGCGCTGGTGAACGATCCGCAGGTATGAACGAGAGTGAAGTTCAATAACAAGAGCTACAAGTGTGCGAGAGATCGATCAACCATCCCGGTCCGTTCCCATACCCGGGACTGTCGGTGCCTGGGACGGGACGGCGGACATGTGACATCCCGCATGCCATTCAACTTACGACATCCATCCCATCTCATGCTATGCTATGCGTACTCTCGGTGATACCTTCAGCCACGTGCGTTGCAACGTGCCCCAGCCACCAGTTGGAAGCCATCCCTCGCTTGTGCAGTGCTCCGTCCGAGTCAATTTGAAAATGGAGCCGAATGGAGGCGACGATCCACTCGCCCACTGCGGCTCGTCGTCGATCCACTCGCCCACTACAGCTCGTCGTGCTTTGCGTGCTCCTTGACCTTCTGCCAGTCGACCCACTCGACGTTGTCTCCGAGGTCCTCGGCGTCCATGACGAATTGATCGTCGGCGACACCTTCCTCCGACAGGGGCCCCATGGCGGTGGGCGGGGCCGGGCGGACGAACGCGCTGCCCTTGGCGGTCAACGAAACGCCCAGAGATCGACGGAGGAGCGCCTCGACCCGCTCGAAATACCTGTTCCCGTTAGCCACAAGACAGGTTCGTGGCACTCACGAGGTCGGGTCGGCCACGCTGAAACCGCTGCGCACGAGCGTCGTGTCGAACAACACGCGGATCGACTCCTTCAGCTCCTGCGCGTCGAACGAGTCATCATCCTCTGGCAGGTCCAGGACCCTCTCGAGCAGTCCCTCGATCAGGGGCGACTTGGGGTTGATCTCGAGGACCCTGGGCAGGTTCTTCATCATCTCCATCATCGGGTCGTCCTCCTGGCCCATCTGCGCGGCCATGATCCTGGCCATGTTGGCGGACCAGCCCATCGAGTCGACGACGATGGTGCAAGGCGACGTCACGAGGCGGTTTGTCAGGACGACTGGGCGAATCAGCCAAGAAGCTCGAAACGATCGGTCAACGTACCATCGGATATCTGACTCGAGAGCTCCTTCTTGAGCCAGTCGATTAGCGGAGCAAAAGCGACCTTCTGCGCATCGAGCTCCTTCTTCTCCGCCTCGTGCTCGTCCTCGTCGCCGTACTTGAGCCCCTTCTTGGACACGTCCTGCGTCTGCATACCCATAAAGTTGCTCAGCGCACCCATCATCGGCTCGTCCGACGGGAGGTTGAGGAGCAACACCTCGTAGCCTCGAGCCTTGAGCTTCTCGACGAAGGGCGAGCGCGCAAGGTCCTCGGCTTTCTCGCCCACACCAGCCATGTAGTAGATCTGCAACAGGCGTTAGCGCATGCATCGGACGACGATGAGACGGCGTACCTGCTTCTGACCCTCTTTGCGGTTGTCGACATACTGCACCCATCAGCGGCTGACAAACACGACCATATCGTCATGTCTCACCTCCTCGAGCGAGGTGTAGTCCGAGCGAGTACTCTCGAATCGCAAAAGCTTGGCAATCTTGATCTTGTCCTTCTGGCTCTCCAGCATGCCGATGCGAAGTGCGTTGCCATAAAGCTTTGACACCTCCTTGTACTTTTCCGGCTCATCCGTCGCGAGGCGGGTGAACAGGTCGATGGCCTTGCGGACGAGGATGCGCTGGAGTTGCTGGAGGAACCGATGGTTCTGAAGGGTCTCTCGGGAAACGTTGAGCCTGTGAAGGTATCAATG